GTCTTTGTCATCACAGAATATAAATTTTTTACCTTGAAAAAGGTGAACGTGTCATCGCAGAATAGAAAAACCAGTTAATGTCAATGCAACGAAGATTGTTGGTTCGAAAATCATATAGAAATGATATTTTTTATGAATCTTTCACTTCCAGATGATCATGACCTGTATTACATGCTTGCTGTAAGAAAGTGCTTGGTTTGGTAAATAGAAAAGAAAAGATGGTTGCGAGACAAAAAACATCATGTGTAATTGGAAGAGATGGAGATAAGATTCGAAGACAAAATTAATCAAATTTTATGTGCATAGGACATATATATATATAGATGAAAATGAAAATTTATTAGATATTTTATTTTAAGATTAAAAGTTATTGCTTTAGATTTTTTTTATTTTTCTTGTTATTTTCAGATTCTTTTACTAGATATTTTTTATAATTTATTTAACTTGAATTTTATTATGTATTTACTATTTAAATAATTTTGTATGTTATCTTAAAAAAATAAAAAATTACTCATTATTTAAGGATTGAAAATTTCCTATTTCTTTCTCTTTACTGTATGCTATATTAGCATGCAAACAAGATATTGTTTGAAAATACCGTAGCTTAAGTTTTTCAATACATTTTTAAAATATATTTTATTTGAGAAAATATTGAATTAGTATATTTTTTTGATAATTTTGATGTGTTAATATAAAAAATAAAATAAAAATACTTTAATATATTTTTAAATAAAAAATACTTTTAAAAAACACACTACACTATCCTACCAAACACACATAATTTTAAAGTTGTTTAAGTTGAAATGCTAATACGTTTAAGTGCAACTGATATGAATCGTCGAATGCTGGCGCAGGTTTATTGGATTAAACCATATATATGACAAATAAAATGAAGTTAAAACAGATGATGGTTTCAGCTCTCGGATGGAGGGAAACTATCCTGCTAAAGATTAAAGAAGCTTCGCAAATAGCTAACCTTGCTCTTAAATGTCTTCAGCTCCATCGCCGGTTCCAGCCATCAACGGCAGAAATTGCTGAAATACTTGAACAGATGGAAGCAGTTCATATGAAATCGGGGGAGCCTTAAATTCATTCTGTTACGTCAATTTTCACTAGCGTTTTTGGTATTCTCCTTCATACAATCGCAATGAAAGGTGAGAGATTTCTGGGATACTGGTCTAACATCATTTAATACACAAACACACGAAGATTTCATGTAATATTTAGAGCTCATGAAATGTTTTAGACAGGACTACAGCATGCTAATTAAGGGCAGATTTTAACAGTTTTCAGACTATTCAATATATATTTCTTTGAAGAATGAGTTGTTTCCCTCTTCTTCTTCTTCTTCTTCTTTTTGGCGAGATTAAAGATGAAGGAATGATTTATAACCATTGAGTTTAGATAGAGTTACGTCCATCATTGAAAAGAAAATGCTAGTGATGTTACTGTTTCCCACGAGATAATTTACTATTCATTAGGCATTACAATAAGATAATTACGATTTTACTCCAAGTTCATTACATCTTTTAACTTGGCATTGGGTGCAAGGTGGTGTTTTCACCCTCACATCAAAATATTTTTCTGAAAATATAAGGTTATGTTTGTAATTTTGATTTTAAATACATGATCAAATTACTTATTTAGCCTTGAATAATATAATATAATAGCTACTATTCAATGATATTTTTTAATTTTTATTTTTTTATAAAATAGTATAATTACTTTAATACCTTTAAAAACAAAATCAATTAAACTCTCACTTGATGGTTTTTTTATCATTTTACTTTGTTTTAATTATAGATTTTATGAGTACTCAGGGTATTGTTGTAAATTATATTTATTAAATATAATTTTAAAAAATCTTATTGGCACGTGAGAAGTTATCTAACCACCAAACACTACTTTTCAGGACAGTGTTTGAAAAGTCTTGACTTTTTCGACCCGATGAGATAGCGCATCTGCTTCCATCATTCATGGAAGTCTGGTGTGGGTGATCATAGTTTTCTCTTTCTTCCCTCTCTTTAGATTTGATATGTCTTTTCAATTTCACTCTTATTAATTTTTTTTTTTATCATTCAAATTTCATACTCATTCTTTTAATTACTATTTTTTTATTTATTTTTTAAATTGATTTTATTATGTGATTTTAACCTTTTGTTTAATTTTTTTCTATCAAATTTAATCTTTGTTCTTTTAATTGTTGATATTTCAGCATTGACAAGTTTTTATTTGGAATAATTTTTTAAATTAATTTTGTTTTATGATTTCACTCTCCTCTGTTTTTTTTCTAATATTGAATTTAATCCTTATTCTTTAAATTTTAAATTTTTGTATTTTGACAAATTTTTAAATTAATATTTTTAAATTACCTCACAATAAACTTTTTGATTGTATCCGGGTCCCTGGTTTCATGAATTATAAGTTTTTAAGATTTAACTAGGTTTAAAATGTTTGTAATGGTTTGCTTGATTTTTACAAATGTTTTTCACTTTCACCTATATAATTTTCTTAATCTTTAAAATTTAGTTTTCATTCTTTTAAATGATATTTATTTTAGTTGATATTTTTTTTATTTTTTCATTAAATTGCATTTTTATTGAGTTTTTTTTTTCTATCAAATTTTTTTCTTATTTTTTTTATTGCTTTTGCGGGTTTTTTCATTAATATTTTTTTATTGATCTCATGTTTTAAAATTAAATTGGTTGAGAATTAAGCTTTTTAATTGAATTAGAGTTAAAGATTTCACGAGATGTGATATTTAGTATTAAACCGAATTTAAGAGGTTTACCAAATTTACTTTTTTATTTTCTTCCTTTTTCTATGCTAATGTTCTCTTTTTTTATCTTATTTTTGAGTTTTTTTATTCTATTATGTTAGGCTTCCATAATTTTTTCCTATTTTACATCTAATATTTTTTTAATCTATAAATAATTTATCATATTACAAATGATTTTTAATTTCTTAATCTTTTAAATTTGGTTCTAACTCTTTTAATTGCAATTTATTTTATTTATGATCATTTTTATTTTTTATTTTCAGATTTCATCCTTGTTGGGTTTTTCTTTGTCAACTTTGTCAAATTTTATCCTTGTTATTTTTGTTATTTTTTTACAATTTTTTTACTAATTTTTTTTCTTGACTTCATCTTTTAAAAATATTTTTTTTTAGAGTTAAGTTTATTAAGTGAACTCATGTCAATAATTTCACAAGTTACAAGTTTTAGATATTAGATCAGATTTAAAAGATTTATTTAAGTTTCCTTGATTTCTCTATCATTTTCTTGAGCTTATGTTCTCTTATTTTTTTTTCTTATTTTTTGGTTTGGTCTTATTAAGTTAGTACTCTCTAACTTTGTTTCTCAATTTCACTCCTTAACATTTTTTTATTCTATCATTATTTATCAAATTACAAACATTTTGTGGTTCCATTCTCTATATTTTTTTAATCTTTTAAATTTATTATTTATTTTTTAAATTCCTATTTAGTTTGTTTGAAATTTTTTTTTTTCAAATATCATCCTCCTAAAATGTTTTTCTATCAAATTTTATACTCATTCTTTTTGTTGTTTCCTTTTTTTTTTTTTTTTGTAATTTGTTTATTAATAATTTTCAATGATTCCATCCTTTAAAATTAAATTGGATGAAATTTAAGTTTCTTAATTAAACTTGAATTTATAATTTAATGAGTTGCAAGTTTTTTAGATTAGATTAAGTTGAAGAAGTTTTCCTAAATTTTCTTTTTATTTTTTTAAGCTGATGTTTTTTATATTTGTTTTTTAAGTTTCACTTTTTTTTTTTATGATTTTCCTTCAATTCGATTACCATTGAATTGTTTAATAATCCGGATCAAGTGTGGTTTTTTTTAATATTTTTTTTATTTATTATTATTGCTTTTTTATATTATTTAAATTACCACTTGAATTAATAATTTGAGATTTGAATTTTTCTAAACTAATAATTTTTTTCAATAAAAAAAATATAGATCGGTTCTGCAACGACCTATCTAGTTTTTATTTATAAGTAGTTTGATTCAATGCAAACGCCAACACAATGATTGAACTTGTCATTTGGAGATGATTTATTGAACCTTGAAGCTGTAATCTGTGCAATAGCTTAGCCACTTCCAAGGTTAAAACTACACCATCAAAGCTGTTTTAATCAATAGAATAATACCTCATATCATGTGCTTTCTCTGGTGATGGTGATGATATGAGAATACATGTAAGGAGGAGTCCCTTCAATCCAAGAATTTAAGTGCATCCATGGAAGTCCGACTCATAATTATGAAATCATAGGATGTTCATAACCTAACTCAAATTTGAATCATTTTAAATTAATTTAAAATAATATTATTTTAAGATTTAAAAAAAAAAATTAGTATAAACTTGTTCTAGATTTTTAATTTTTTAAAATCAAATCTCATTTGATTTTAACTAGTCCACCGAATTACAAGTTAATTCACAAAATTAATTAAATTTTATAAATTAATCTTATATGATTCAATAAAAAACTCAACGTCTTCAAATGATGTAAAGTGGTGATAAAAAATTTGAGATCTGCACAGTAAATCTTGAGTTCAAGTTAAGACGTGCAATTCTTATAAAAGTCGGGGACAACCAGGATTTTATTCGTCTATCTAGACCCACAAAATACTCTTCTCAAAAGATGGAGTTTCAAATTCAAAAAAAAAAAAAATTTAACTCAAATTAAATCAAAGTTAATATATTGTCTTCACAAATTAGTTTAGGTATAATAATACTAATCTCACTCCATACTACTTAATTGTTAGCATGCTAAGCAAATAGGACATTATATAAATGAAAATATATGAAAATAATCAAGGAGTTCTATATAAAATTTTCATAAATCTCAAATATATATTATTCTAAAATTAGCCATAACTTAATTTATTAAATACAAATAAAACTTATTGAGAAAATAGTCAAGGAGAAGATGAAAATATAGAGTAATATACTATTCAACTTTTTTTTTTTTTTAATTCAAGAGAACGGAGCCCTTGATACCGTATGATACTCTCCAGCACTCAAGCTCTTCTTCCTTGTTCAAAGTCAACGTCAAAAAAGATGTCTCTTCCCGCTGCAAAAACACACAGAGAATTTAAAATTTTGACCATTTTACTTGTTTTTTGGTGTGACGCAATTGATTTTTAAAAATATTTTTTTATTTAAAATTATATTAGTTTTTTTAATATAACTCATTAAGATTATTAAAATAACATTAATTTAATATTTTTTCAAAATAAAATATTCTTAAAATGCAAATAACATGGCCGCAAGAGTTTCAAAATGCTGACATATGAAGAAGTTGCTTTTGAAAAATATGATATTAAATAAATATTGCGATAACCATCAAAATACCAGTGAAGGAGATCTGCAAATCCATGACACGTGGCTATTAAATAACATTATTATTTTATAATATATATATCTTATTTTTTTTATTAAAAAAAATGTGCTATTATGTTATTATTTTTAATTTTTAATGCTATTTGTTTTTTTAAGAAAAATCCTCTTCCCTTCACGTTATGTTTCTGTCCCGCTCTTTCAAGAACAGCAAGAGAAAAACAATGGTCATTACAACAAGAAGGAAAGGGTGACCCACAGATTACAGTAGCAGTCAATTAATGGGGATTTTCTGTAGCTGTTCAGCTCAGAAGCCAGCAACAACCCAAGATCAAGACCCAACACCAAGCACCGCCGACCATGTCAGTGCAGGTACCACCACAATCATTTTCAACTTCTCTTCACATTAATTCTACTATTCATTGAATGTTTCAAATTGGGTTTCTTTTGGTTTTGCTCTTACACTTCTGTAATTTGACTTAGTTGGATAGAATCGCCTCTTTTTTTTGGCTTATTTCACAACATGTCCTCTGCTTATTTCACATGTCCTCTGCTTATTATATGTCTGTGACTGCGATTGGGTCTTTGTTGTTCATTGCCTCTCTACCTTTTTATTGATGTTAATGCTTTTTGGCGTTTCTAATTGTCTCTCCAACACTTGAAGCAATGCAAAGATGACATCTTTTTTCCTGTAGCAATGTTTTATAGGGTTGCTCATTGTGTTTTCGACTCTTCAATGTGTTGCTAGCTGCACTCTCAGGATATATTCATGGAATCTAATGGGATTATCAATATTTCTAATGGGATAAAATAGTAGTTACTCAAAAAAAAAAGGAGAAAAACTCCATTAGTTGGGTGCAGAAATGGTCAAATCATAGGGGATTAGTTTGTGCTTTACACTTTTTTTAAAAAACAAAAATTTGGAAAATATTGCTTCCAATTTCTATTTGTGACTTCATTTTCTGATTATATGAGTTTTTCATGCTTATGCAATGGTCATACATGTTTTGCAGGCAGTGATGACTTTGGAAACAGCTGGTTCTCTAGAGTAAGCACCAGCATTACAACATGGATGTCTCAACCAAGTAGTAGCTTCACAACTATCTGGGATAAAAATGTCCCTGAGAGCAGCCAATTCTCAGATGCAACTGGAAGTGGTGATGGGACTATGGCAAACGGGCAAAATGCTACCAGCTCAAGCATGAGAGTATTCACATTGGCGCAGCTGAGGGCTGCAACATATAATTTTAGATCCGATATGTTACTGGGAAAAGGAGGTTTTGGCACCGTCTATAAGGGTTGGCTTAAGGAGAAGTTGCCTCCAAGTGGTATAAAGAAGACTGTCGTTGCTGTCAAGAAATTAGATACTTTCAGCATGCAAGGATTAAACGAGTGGAAGGTATATGGATTTCCAAATGTTGTACTTACTGTCATACAGTCATACTGTTCTTTGTTGTGCTTAAAAATATGCTCCCTTAAATTCTTTCTTTGCTGAACCTTACAAGATCTCTTTTGGAAGAGGAATGTTAGTTTATAGCTCATTTTCGTATTTATCCACTATGAATGTGTAAAATGAATTGGGACTACTCAAGTTATATTTCTAAAAATTCTGTCTGACATCTTCACAAGTGAAAAGAAAATCCATGGTATTTGAGATATCATATGTTAAGTGAATTTACCTATCAAGGTGGTTAAGGGTGTTCTGAGTTATTGATATCTTGTACCTTTGGAATTGTGACCATTTTTTCTCTCTTGCTCTCTTGTTCCCCATCTTCTGTCTTTCCTTCACAAACCAAATGCATGTGCTCTTTTTGGGAGCTAGTGCTTTGTTTGAGGTAGTAAAAGTTGTTAGCTTAATCATTTGTCCGTGCATTGGTGCAGGCTGAAGTGTATTTCTCTGAAAAACATTCTCACCCGAACCTGCAAGAACTACTGGGATATTGTTTGGAAAGTGGAGACCGCATCCTTGTCTATGAGTTCATGAAAAAGCGAAGCTTAAATTACCATCTCTTTGGAAGTAAGAGACATTTACTACAGCTTGTAAATTTTAGCATTTAGTAGAGCCTACACATATGCATCCAAATGTTCATTTCGTTCATTCCCTACATGTTTACCTGTTTTCAGAGCGCTCATTTCCACCACTTTCATGGGACATCAGGCTCAAGATTGCTATAGATACTGCTCGTGGTCTGGCTTACTTGCACACATTGGAAGAGCCAATAATTTACCGAGATTTCAAGTCATCGAATATACTACTCGATGAGGCAAGTTTCTATGAAGCTTGTAGATTGTAACCCATAAACATATAAATTATAGTTGGTATTCCATGACTCCACCAATGATTGGACCCATTTCTTGCCATTGTGGTTTGGGAATTTTTATCTAAAGTCTTGTACCCATCTGAACCTTCTTTCCCTCCTGCCATGAGTTCTTTCCAGTCCACCAAAAATAGTTATGGGAGAATGCATCAAAAGTGTTATCTTTCAGAAAGTGTTTGTTGAAGTATTCAAGACAGACTTATCTCCTTCCAACTTCTCTTTTTATTTTAGTTCTATAATGCGAAGCTATCAGACTTTGGCTTGTCATTTTGGGGTCCCTTGATTGATTCACATGTCAGTACTGGAATCGCAGGCACGATAGGTTACATTGATCCGGAATATCTTGCAGCAGGTACTTATTATTCCTACTGAACTCTAATTTCTCTGACATCGGTGTTGGTTGTTTAAATTTGTTTCGATTCTCTTTGATCACCACTGATTTAAAAAAAAATTCATGACCTTAATTTCATGCTCTAATTGATGTTGTGCTGGTTGGTTAGGACATTTGCATGTGAAGAGTGATGTATACGGGTTTGGAGTTGTTATGGTTGAGATGTTAACTGGTTTACGTGCAATCGACATGAAACGTCCAAGTGGGAAACAGATACTTGTGGACTGGGCTAAACCTTATCTGACAAACAGAAGCAAGTTGAAAAATATAATGGACTCCCGGTTGAAAGGGAAATTTCCTCCCAAAGAGGCTTACCAAATAGCTCACCTTGCTATTAAATGTCTTCAACATGATCCCCGCTTCCGGCCATCAATGACAGAAATTGCTGAGACACTCGAACAGATTGATGCCATCCATATGAGATTGGGTTAGCCTAAAATTCATTCTGGTTATCATAGTGGTTTGTAGTGTTTTAGTACTCTTCTTCATTAGGTGTCATCACAGATGAGAGATCTCTGGTATACTTTCTTCATACAACTTACACGAGAATTCATAATTAGCTACCATGAAATGCTTTGAGTTTATATGACTAGCTGTAGCAGAAAGAGATGGGCGTGTTTGGCGCATCTTGCCATGGACGCTTCTCATTTGTTGTATTCATGCAGTAGTTCAATTTTCCTTGGCAATGTGATAGAGTCATTTCTGTCACTGCACTGCTGGACTTTTATTGATTTGTGTATTTTTAGCAAAGAATCTGTAATCATTGGAAGCCTGTTTATGCGTTATTGGAAAAGTGGATTTAGGCAGCACAAACAAATAGGCAATTTGGTGTCACGACATAACTTTTCTTTCTCCCATTTTGTATTTTCTGCGGTTAGATCTTCACTTTCGTCTTTGCTACCATGTTTGAAGAGCGGCCCGTTCCACCACGTCCGTGGGATATGAGGATGAAGAATGTGGAGGATACTGCTACAGGCCTGGCTTACTTGCACACATTGGAATAGCCAATAATATACAGAGATTTCAAGTCCTCAAATATAGTCCTGGACGAGATAAGGTTCTATGTAACTTAATCAAATAACATTATCCCTGAAACCCTCTTTTTTTTTAAATGATCCTGTATCTACCTTTCCGTAGCCATTTTAGGAGATCAATGGCAGATGTTATATTATGAATGCTGCGCTGCGACTCGGTTCCAGTGATTGGACCTATTTGTTGTTACAATGACACGAAGAACATTCATATACGCCATACTTTTGAAGTTACAGCCGTTAATTCACCATACTATTGAAGTAATAGATGGATTTTTGAAAATTAGTTTGAATTTTTTTTCCTGACAAAATAATACAGGTAAAAAAAAAAACTTTTGCTAAATAGAATAAGAGCTTGCATAAATTCCAAGAAAGAGAGGAGAGATGAGGAGAAAAAAAATAAGATGTTGAAGGTATATCAAAACTTTGAAGACAGCACTCTTGTATTATCGGAAAAATCTTGATAAAACGAATTAAATTACAATAAAGAAGATCATTAATGATTATCATAAACGCCATTCAAAGATAAATGATTTATTGAACCGAGAAACTGAAATTCTGTGCAATAGCCACTTCATGATTTGAAACTACACCATCAATGATGATTTAATCAAATTGCATGATACCTCATATCAAAGTGTTTTATCTGGTGATGATAATAAACCTCGTATCAATGATGACTTAAGAATAAATGTAAGTAATGGTTCCTTCAATCCAAAGACTATATGCAGCGCATATAAGCAAGCTCTCACTATAGTTATAAAATTCTATCAAACTCATGCTTCAGTATAAAATCTTAGAGTATAGATTGGATGAGTTGATTTAAATTGATAATAATACTGTTATAAGAGTTTTATATATAAAAAAAATTTGAAAGAAATTATTTTAGATTAAAAAAATTATATGATTTTAAATAGATTGATTGAGTTGTAATTTGACTTACTAAGCTAACTAGATTTAATTGAGATAATTTTTACTTGGTTTAATATAAAACTTAACTTAAATTAAGTGCTGTATTGATTGGACTAGCCTGGGTTAATAACACTAATCTCACTTTGAAATATTCAATTTTTTAATATGCTAAATAAGTAAACTATTATATAAATAAAAATAAATAGGGAATTAAATATATTGAAAAATATATGAAAATCCATTTCTTAACTTATTATTATTTTTATTATCTCAAAATTAGCTGTAATTTAGAGTTTATTTGATATTGTGACAATGGTTGTTTTTTAAAATAAATTTTACTTAAAAATATATTAAAATAATATATTTTTAAAAAAAATTATTTTTGATATCAAAATAATTTTAAAATACTAAAAAAATTAATTTTCAATAAAGAAAAAACGAAAAAATTAAAAAATTTTAAAAATCCTTTTAAAATGAAAAACAAATAAAATCTTAATCTATTAAAATACAACTAAAAACTTATTAATAAAATAATCAAGGGACCTTATTGAGAAAACATAAAAGCTAGAAGAATGAGATTAGAAGACGATAAATTTTTATATTTTTTAAAAATGATTATTATTTTAATTTTAATTTTATTTATTTTTATGTTTTAAAAGTATTTTTTAAAAAATTTAAATTTTTTTATTTTTTATTTTAAATTTAAATTTTTTTAGTGTTTTTAAATATTTTAATTTACTGATATTAAAAATAAATTTAAAAATAAAAAAAATATTATTTTAATATATTTCTATATAAAAAATAATTTAAAAAATAATAAAAGCACACCCAAACAATTACGGAGCGATCTTTCCAAGAAGAAAGTCACACCGCCCCTACTATTCTAACAGCTACCGCTTCTCACCCGGGTCACTTCACTCCGCTTCCATTTTCAGAGTAAACGTCAGAAAAGATGTCTGTTCCCTTGACATGGTCACTTTCAGTTCCTCTCCCTCTCTTTCACGAACTGCAGGAAATATCAGTAGTCATTACGACAAGAAGGGAAGAGCGACATACAGATTACAGCAGCTGTTAATTAATGGGGATATTTTGTTGCTGTACAGCTCACAAGCCAGCTACAACACAAGATCAAGACCCAACACCAAGCACCGCCGGCCATATCAGTGCAGGTACCACCACAATCATTTTGAGCATCTCTTTACATTAATTTTACTATTCGTTGGATGTTTCAAATTGGGTTTGTTTTGGTTTTGCCCTTGCACTTCTGTCATTCGACTTGGTTGAATATTTTTTACTACATGTCCTCTGTGGTTGTGATTGAGTCGTTTTTGTTGGTGCCCCTCTACCCTTCTATTGATGCTAATGCCTTTTGGCGTTGCTAATTGTCTCTCCAATCCTTGAAGCAATGCAAAGATGACATCCTTTTGCCTCTAGCAACGTTTTACAAGGTTGACCATTGTGTTTTCGATTCTTCAATGCGTTGCTAACTGTAATCGCAGGATATATTCACTGAATCTAATGGAATAAACAATATTTCTAATGGGATAAAAAACTACTTATTCAAAAAAAAAAAAATTCCATTACTTGGGCGCAGATTTTTTAATTTTTGGAAAATATTGGCTCCGTTTTCTGTTTGTCACTCCATTTTCTGATTATTTGAGTTTTGCATGCTTATGCAATTGTCGTACATGTTTTGTAGGTAGCGATGACTTTGGCAACGGCTGGTTCTCTATAGCAAGCACTAGCATTACAACATGGATGTCTCATCCAAGTAGCAGCTTCACAACTATTTGGGGTAAAAATGTCCCTGAGAGCAGCCAATTCTCAGATGCAACAGGAAGTGGTGATGTGACCTTAGCAAACGGGCAAAATGCTACCAGCTCAACCGTGACAGTATTCACATTAGCGCAACTGAGGGCTGCAACATATAATTTTAGATCTGATATGGTGTTGGGAAAAGGAGGTTTTGGCGATGTCTATAAGGGTTGGGTTAAGGAGAAGTTGCCTCCAAGGGGTATAAAGAAGACGGCCGTTGCTATCAAGAAATTGGATTCTTTCAGCATGCATGGATTAAAAGAGTGGAAGGTACATGGATTTCCAAATTTTGTATTTACTCCCTGTCATACAGTCATACTGTTCTATGTTGTGCTTAAAGATAGGCACCATTATATTCTTTCTTTGCTGAACCTTCCAGGATGTCTTTTGGAAGAGGAATGATAGTTAATAGCTCATTTTAATATTTATCCCATGTGAATGTGTAAAATGACTTGGGACTAACTTAAGTTATATTTCTAAAAATTCTGTCTGACATCTTCACAAGTGAACAGAAAATCATGGTATTTGTGATTTTATACATTAATTGAAGTTATCTATTGAGGTGGTTAAGGGAGTTCTGAGTTATTGATATCATGTACCTTTGGAATTGTGACCATTTTCTATTTTTCTCTGGCTCTCTCATTCCCCTTCTGTCTTTCCCTCACAAACCCAATGCATGTGCTTTTCCGGGAGCTAGTTCTTTGTTTAAAGCAGTATAAGTTGTTTGCTTAATCATTTGTCCATGTGTTGGTGCAGGCTGAGGTGTATTTCTTAGGAACACATTCTCACCCAAACCTAGTAAAGCTATTGGGATATTGTTCGGAAAGTGGAGAGCGCATCCTTGTCTATGAATTCATGAAATAGGGAAGCTTAAATTACCATCTCTTTGGAAGTAAGAGACATTTACTACAGCTTGTAAATTTTAGCATTTGGCAGAACCTACACTTCTGCTTCTAAATATTCATTTCCTTAATTCTCTACATGTTTTCCATGTTTTAAGAGCGCTCAGTTCCACCACTTTCATGGGACATTAGGCTCAAGATTGCTATAGATACTGCTCATGGTCTGGCTTACTTGCACACATTAGAAAAACCAATAATTTACCGAGATTTCAAGTCCTCAAATATACTACTTAATGAGGCAAGTTTTCTATAAAGCTTGTAGATTGTAACTCATAAATATATAAATTATGTCAAATAACTATCTCAACCTAAAAATTTAAGCTATTAGGTGAGATTTCAAGATATGATTTATATAAACCTATATTATTTTGTGTTTAATTTTTATCAAACAGAATAGAGGTGGTGAGATTCAAACTCGTGACTGTTTGGTCAAGAACGTTCTAATATCATGTTAAAAAATCACTTCACAGAAAAGAATTAAGCTATTAGATGAGGTTTCAAGAATAGTTTTATGTTACTTTATAACACATCTCCTTAAATGAAAACTTTTTGGGTTTGAAACTTGTATAGATCCACACTATCTTGTGCTTGATTTTTATCAAATAGAATGAGAATGGTGAAATTTGAACTCGTGACTGCTTGGTCAACAAGACTCTGATACCATGTCAAATAACTATCTCGTCTAAAAATTTAAGCTATTAAGTAAGGCTCCAAGATATAATTTATATAATTTTCTAACAAATTGTGGATGCTATTTCATGACTACACTAGTTGTGGTATGATAATTTTTATGTAGAGTCTTATACACACCTGAACATTCCTTTTCCTCCTACCATGAGTTATTTCCGGTTCATAAAAAATAGTTATTGGAGAATGCAAAAAAAGTGTTATCTTTCTGAAAGTGTTTGTTTTATTATTCAAGAGGACTTATTTCCTTCCAAATTCACCTTTTATTTTAGTTCTATAACGCGAAGCTATCAGACTTTGGCTTGTCATTTTGGGGTCCCTTGATTGATTCACATGTCA